GGCTGTCACCCATTTGCAGAGTAGAAACCATAGGATGAGTTATTGACATCTGTGCTACTGAAATGGCAAGGAGAGAAGAGGTATGGTTTCCACATGTTCAAGCACAAGCAGGCATTGGCCTAGTGTGTCTGTAATTATTGTCACTCAGGTAGATACTTGTGGTTCCCTGGCAGTGGAAATTCGCTCCAATTCTATTATTTTTCTCATGGTATCTTTGTGCTGTTGTGGGAAAGTAACAATGTGCACATCATTTTCTGTTATGCAGTAGCCAGTACTGCTGTAGGCTTCTTACAGATCTTTCCATTTGCTCAATCTGCATTTGGGAGGAAAGAAATTGGGTTATTCAGGTAACAGCATCATGTAGTACAGAGCAAATTTTCTCTAAAAATCCAGAAGACAGGAGGATGATTGCTGAAAAAGACTAAAAAGCCTCCATAAATCAAAACGGAAAAAAAAAAAAAAAAGGGCCGTTGTTTAATTTATTGAGAGACAATAAGCATCAAAATATAATTATGAGATGAGCAGGAGCTTTCTCCCTTAAGTATGTTGCTTTCCATAGTATATTTCTTTTGTAACTGAGTTAGTCTTTTCACTATTCTTTGAAAATTCAGGAATATTGAATGTCACATAAAGTTATAATTGTAATATATGAATAAAGGAATGCTGTGAGATAAAAGTGAAACTTAAAAAAGAGAGAGACAACAAGATCTAGCACATGAAATAAAAACATTTCTTTCCTGGGAGACAGGCCGCAGAAATAAATATGTATCTAGCTGACATTTCATTGTATCTTATTCAAGCAGAATAAAGCTAAAATTATCTCACATGCCTATAGGCTGCCCTGGTGTAAGGCATGGAAATGTAGAAGGGATTATTTCGTATGTGCATTTTCATTTGCTTTCTTTCTAAGATACAAAAGCAGTTCATTCTAGTTGCTGAGAAATCATTTGGTAAAATAAATCCTTTAAAAATAGAAGACATTTCCACTTAAATTTTTTTCAGACACTTCATGATATAAGTGAAGTACTTTAACCAGGGGCAAATCCAGTTGTTTAAACTGACCTTGGAAAAAACATTACTTGAGCTGGCTAAAAATAAAAATATCATTTGGGAAGAAAAGCTGTACATGAATTTTCCTTTTAGAGCTTTCTATGCTGGAGAACAGAATCAATATTGAAGGAAATTATTTAGTCTAAATAAAATTATCTTATAAAAGAGGTAAAACCTATGATCTGTCCTTTGTAGTTAACTGTCAGCATTTCTTTACAACCCTGTGGTAAGATGAGTAAGAAAAAGGTGAGTGATTTGTTAGCAACAGTCTAATTTTAGTGACACACACAGAAGCAAGGCTTGCAAGATCAGATACAATTTAAAGAAACTGTGAGATAAATGGGCCTTGTGAATTCATAATTGTGCAACATCTCTCCCGATTTGACACTCAGTGGAAAATACAGCAATGATTGTCACTTTAGAAAGAAACATCTGGAAACAACATGGCTGCTGCTGTTTTTTTCCTGCAGACACTTTGGTTTTTATAACACAGCCTGATGATCAGATCATTTACTCAGGACATGAGAGGACTGTGTTCTCAGTTTTGAAACCCCACATCTTCCACTTCCCCAGACAGTGCATTAACCACCAGGGTTAGTGCTTCAATCCCCCTGTTTAAGTTGCCTCACTGTGCACCAAAAAATGTAGGCCAGAGAGCCACAGGAGAGTATGACACTGTGGCCTAGAAATTAGAGATGCTTGGGTGGATTCAGGCTTTCAGGGTTATGTCAGTTCTTACCTCAGGAGATTTGATATGAAGCCTGGGAAAAAGCTAAATGCACCTATACTCCCTTTTTCTTCTATAATTTTAAGGAGAATTGGATGACGGTTCTTAGCCAAAGACTGAAATTTGAGTGTTTCTGCTTACCTTTTTCTAAGTTTGGGATATTGGTCAGAGTTCAGTCATGTAAAACATTTTTTTTTACCTAGTTACTCTCCTGTCCAGCATGTAGATGTTTATTGTAATTCCTCCAAGGTGTCTGTTTCTCTTCCTGTACTTCCTGTACAGACAAACTGGTTTTGGGCAGCTGAATTCCTACTCTTGAAGATCGAGCTTGGAAATTATGTCACTGTGCCTGTCTTCTTTGGATCTGTCCCAAAGTCATTTCAGGGAACTGCTGTCTTGTTCTTGCAAACTTAACCGGTTATTCTGCTATCAAACATGTAGGTATAGCTGGAGCTCCCACATGCTGCAAAATTTTCTGCCTCAGGCCAGCTACTTTGCCCATAGTCTCTATTTTTCAATGTCTGGAGTTACACGTAAAATAGAATTAGACAAGACGATATGGGGAAAACTTTATTACTTGTAACTTCCTTATGAAATCAAATTTGATCTTGCTCTCTAACTAGAAGATTTTGAAGCACTCATTTGTATTTTGTTCAGATCTTCTTTTGTGAACATTGCCTCTCTCTACTACATGAATGTGCAGCAGGGAATTTACTTCCATTGAACTGAATGATTAAAAACTAGACTTCAGCGAAAAATGTTCTGGAAAATACAGTAGAACATCTACTGTGCTATTCAACTGGTAAGTATTGGTTCCCTATGGTGCAGTTTGTGGGAATTGTGAGCTCCTGCAAGGTTTCTATAAAGCAAAACATATGCCTGCTTGTTCAAGAATGCTCAGTTGTATGACCTGTTCTCACAAGGGCTGAAAGAGAGGAAAAATACAGCTAAGTTTTATGAAGTTGTTAAAGCAGCAACTTCATAACTTTTTAAACACTTTTTAAAAAAATTACACCTTTTGATTGTTCAGTCAAACACTATGATACCTTCTGTTTGAAGCATAAGTGTGTATAGTGAATACATCTGCCATCTGTATGTGCTCAGATACAACTGCCTCACATTAATCTTTTATTTAGTCACATTAATTATAAAGGTAACATAGGTTATTAGTAGGATTATCTGCTTGGGTTGACTGTGGAGTTTTGCTTAAATGCTGAATATATAATGTTGCCCTAAATTTCTTGGCATTTGCAGCAAATAACTATCTCTCAAATTTAGTCAAGAAAATTTCTGTTGTCAGATTCAGCCATTGCCCTCATATAGCAAGGCTGCTTTATAATATTACCATCTGTCCATTGTAATGAAAGATGGATCTGGCTTTCATACTCACCCTGTAATTTTTTGTAAAAGCATACAGTTATGTACACAACAAATAGTTCTGTCATACTGACTGATAATTACCTCCCCCTGCTCTTACTTTGTCCCAGTAAAAGAAGAAAAAAAACCAAGAAATACTTCAGTAAAATTATGTATATTGTGGTTCCTATCTATAATATATTTCAAACAATCCAGTATGTTCATTCTATATGTAGAAAATTATTTTCTGAAATATTTTACTTATTGATCCTAAAACTGTGATGTAGGTCTGACATTAAGATGGGTACTTATTATTTATATGTTTTTCCATTGTCATTAATTTTCACAAACTTCTGATTGCTGGAATCTTTCAAAGAATGCATTACTTTATTTTATTTTTGTTCTTCACATCATTAGGAGGATTTTTCTGCTAGGAATCTGTTCCAACATCCTCTCATTTTAAGAGGAAAAGGCAATTCCCAAGTACTTCATAGCACAAGGAAAATGAGAATTTAATGCATATCTGTGCCTTCCTCCTCACACATCCTGTGTTAGATCAGATCATAGCATCAGACAGAATCTTTGGTTTTGCCTTTTTGTGTGTGTGTGTGTGCCTTGAAATGGCATAGCTGCTGCATGCTTTCCATCCTCTTTTATGTTCTAAGTGAGATACTAAGGGAGATAAGTACAATGTATGATGGATTGAGTTAACAAATGTTAATTTTATTTCACATAAAAAGTATTGCTGTTAACTGAAAGATAATTCTGCAAAGCCTGTCTGTCTATGTTGGTTTTACCTTCTCTGCTGTCCTCAGGGTATTTGTGTATAATGCCAATAGAGCTTTGTGAAGAGATTATTTAAACCATAGGGAGTTGTAATTTCACTTTTTCCATTGAAATTCTAGTGTAACACCAGGCTTGGTCAAACTGTCAGACCTTCTCTGGGGTAGAAAGCTATCAGATCTTTTTTTCTCTCTGTGCTTTGCTAGGTGTTTTCAATGTCAAGCTATCTGAGCTACTACAAATTCCTCTAAGCTCAGAGTCTTGGGAAGATGCTAGAAATTTTTCCAGTTATGGTTGATGGTCAGACCATACTCACATTTTATCCCTAGCTAGATGATACCTTGCGTGGACTTCTTCCTCCTCATAATGCAAGGGCTCTATAGCCCTTCCCAAGATTTTCTGGGGGATGTTCCACTGATACAAGGCGCTGCCCCAGTTGAGGGCGTGAAGGCCATGTAGGTACATGGGCATATGCATCTGTATATATACATGTTTTGCAATCTTCAGTTCTCCATTGTAGTAAACCCTTTCCCTAATCCCTTCTAGGATGATTAGGTAAAAGCTACAGATAAGTAGCTATAACATGTAGGCACACTGAAGAGCTAGGGCAAGAATCTAAAGACCAGTGACCCAATATGTACCATCTTGTTTCCAGCTTTTGAGGACAATGAGTTATTATTGATTTCAGGATATTCACATAAATCATATAAATCACTTCCTAAAGTTATTCTCAAGTTTTTTTTATGCTCTCACATATTACTGTCCCCCTGTATGTGTGAGCACAGGGAAGACTTAATGATGAATCCCCATATGCATAAATTTTGCATAAATGTAAACTGGGACTGGGTACTTCAGTACAGTAGTAACTCTAGATTTACATAAAACTGTTGACTTTCAATGCAAGTAAGGATGCAAGAATCTCTTCCTCTGAAAATCATGTATGTTTCACAGATTCTTTGGTAAAATAGAGGATTCTTTTAAAAAAATTTGTTCTTGTACCACCACAAGGGGTCATTCTTCCTCCTGCATAGTTGTTGTAAGCCCTACAAAAGTATTTATAGGATAATACATTACACAAACTTACAGCTTTCCAGCTGCATTATACATGTTTGCACATCCATTGGAAAATTTTTGAGATCCATCGGACAGGACAGTATTAAAGTCAATCTGAAAGAACACAAAAAAATATTAAAAATATACCACAAAAATGCCACACAGGAAGAATGCATGAAAACACTGGGAGTCATTAGAAGTAGAAGAAAATATATTTTTTCATTTTTTCATTTCTTGAAAGGAATGTATATTAGCTGAACCCATTTCACTCGCTCAGCCTACTATGACAATGTGGAAAAAAATTATTATAGACTTGCAGAAAAACAAATTCTTCAGCAGGGTTGCCTAACTTTATGAGAACTCTAAAGGAATGCAACAACAGCATGCTTTTTTTGTGCTATAGCAGAATTACTGTACTGATACAGTATTTCAAATCCTTGACATAAAATTTACCCAGATTTGCAAGAATTTCATAACAGATGTCAGCTGCAAATCATGGTGGCAAAGTAATTTATGTGTTATTGTCCTAAAATAAGGTGCTTAAATTTTCAACACAAAGGTTTAAGATAACATTTTATGATATTGATGGTAGACTGAAATATGCCTGTAATTTTGAACTGCAGCTGTGCTTCACATTAGTCTTGATACTTCCTGTGAAACAATTTGCAACTGATAGGCAAAAGAGGTATTTTTACTTTTTATATCAATACAATAACTTAACTTTAGAGTGATATTTCTCAGAGGAATGAGAAAGAATTCAAGAGGTAAAGGCACATGTTTTCCCACATTGGCCGTGTTCAGATATCCATTCATCATTTAGAGTCATGACTTCACCTTTCTTCTTGCTAGAAAATACCTTGTGTGAAAATTTTGTCCCATATTCATTTATCAGTTCAGTTGATAGAATGTTCTCCAAAAACCTGAGGGGCTTGAGTTCAATTCCTTACACATAAGGCTTTTCTAGAATGGCTCTGCTCTAATCCCCCTCCCTTAAAGCCGTTCCCCTGTTTTTGGCTAAAAGGAAGTGGGCAGTAGGTAGCAAGTATGGCTGTATATTTCTTTTAACCTACTTTTTGCCTCTCCAAAGCTTCTTGATTCTTTATTGCTATAACTTCTGTTTAGCCTGCCAGTAGCAGAGCTGCAAGGCAAGAGCCCAAGGAGGGAACTCAGACCCAGGCCCTATTCCCATGCTATTAAAAATAGTTCCAAATGCAAAATCTGACTAGTAGGCTAGTAACATGGCAAGTCATTTCAAAGAAAAGGCACCTGCACTTTATGCTTCAGTAAATATTTTAGTATTTTGTATGAGGTATTCATTGAATCAGGAAGTGGAACCTTATTGTTATTTTCTTATCTAAATTTTTCCAATGCAATCAAGGGAGGAGGAGACATTAGGGAATGAAAGGAAAAAGCAATTTTAGAAAATTTTTTTTTCTTTTAATATCAGCATGTTAGCAATTAGCCTGTCTCCCCTCATCAAAAGCTTAGCTGACTCAAATTCACATAACAACTCGACTAGATGCCAATCATATTATTTTAAATCTGTTTCAGAAATTGCAATAGTTCTTAATTAAATCATGGCAACATAAACTTTCTGGCTCCACAGGAAACATAGGAGCTATCTGGCATCTGCTTTTATCACAGTCAGTGTTTGCTTTTATAATTTAATATTATAATATTTCTCATGTTTGGTCCTGTCCCCCCCTGCCCCCCGCCCCATTTCATGTGACCATGAACTTGGTTTGAATTCTGTTGAAGTTGCAATCCGAACTTGCTTCAGTTGAATGGTGGTGTCTATACTCTGTGTTGTACATATCTGGAGGGAGTAGGGCAAGGAGGAGGAGTTATTTGATTAGAGTCATACAGCTACCGATGCCTTTCAGGGCTATTCAGACAGCCTGGAGATAATTGATTTAGCTCTACTTTCTACTTGGATCTGGAGAAGGAATACTTTTAACTTGCTTTCCATCTGTTTCTAGTGACAGAATACATGTGATGCTGAAGAATGATTATGTTCCCGGACTGGCAGACTAATCTCCTTTTGGATATGAAATGCTTATAGGAATTTTAACCCAACTCTTTCTCCCTGTGTAAGCTTGACAAGATGCTGCCCACTTGCACTGAAAAGAGGGAGGAATGAGACTCCCTAGCCACAGATACATCCATACAAGTCACAAACATTTTCTTTTTCTTTTAGTATGCAAACTGTTTTGCAGATTCTTGATGTCTCTTCAAAAAGTCCAATTACTCATTAACGCAGTGTCGTAAAAGCATGCAAAGCAAAACATAAAGTGGGCAAAAGGCATATTTATTTTGAAAATTGTAACATTTTGCACAGTAGGTCACTGTATTAATATCAAACCTATATCATGGCTAATGGGCCATTAGTATATTTATATCCAATATGTTTCTCATTAGATCAGGTTTTTGAAGATAGTGGTAAAATGCCCACTAATGTTTGTATTAATAAAAGGAATGTGGGGAAAAGAGAAGAGAAAATAAGTGGGATAAGTAGATTTTGTCGATACTTATAACTGCTGCTTACAGCTTCTTAAACCTTCTAAAAAGTTTACTTTCCATTTTTCACTCCATCTCCAGCAGTAAGTGAACTATTCTTTAAATGTCATACTTCCTTAACAGGTCATGTTTCCATGCTGAAGTGCAACTGCGATATCCAAAAAGGTGAAAAAGAAATAATATTGAATTGACATTACCTTGGAGGCTACAGAATGTGAAACATATGTAGCCAGCTCAGATTATAACACTCCAGGATTATTTGCTCTGTGCAAGTGTCCTAGCTCCTCTAGGCTCAGTTTCTATACTTTAAAATGGGAAAGATACTTTTCTTGTGATTTTTACTGTGTGTGTGCCTGATGAGGGATTATTTCCTATTTTAGTATTAACAATGAACAGTAGTGATGATAAAGTTCTGTATTAAAAACTCACAACTACTTCAGTAACAGTTCTGCATGACTAGCAACTGAAGATATCTGCTATCAATTCTTAGGTACACTTTTGAGCTTACTATCTGAAAAAAGTCTTTTGATTAGAGACTCACCTGATGGAATAAAGTACATTTCCATTTTTGAAAATTCGCAACAGCTTATTATCTGTGGTAACTTCATGAAAGTTGGCCCCTTTTTCATTAGCAAAGAACAGATCAGGTTTCCAAATTGAATCCAGCATGGATGGATCTAAGTCTAAAGAGTCATCTGGATATTCACTGTATGCGAGGCGTGGATCATTCCAATTCTGACGGAGAAAGATGTTCACTCGGTAATCCTGAATGAAAGGGAAAACAAGCAAAGATTTATCAAGCATAGGGATTTAGCTTTTATTTCATTTCTTAGCCATGTAATCCCCTGTCCATCTGTGGACGACAAAAGAATTACTTAGCTGAATACCAGCATGATACCTATTTGTATTAGTAGGGACACAATGGATAAGAATAAAGATGCATTTCAGGGCAATTGAAAAATCCTAAGCTAAGGAAATCCTGTATAGTTCACATAACTCCGCATAACTCTACCCCTACAGTAGGTCTGCCTTGAAATTAAAATGAGAGAAGCATAAAAAGAGTTTTATGAGTTACCTTTTTCCGCCCAACTCCTGACCAGATCACTGCCACTTTCCTCTCTTAGGCAGTGAGAATCTATCCCAGTGTAAGGGAAGTTAAATTAATTTTTTTCTCTCTCTGTAATCCTTACATGTTTTAGACCCACAACTTAGACTTTCTGTGCCTCGGTTCCCTATTCAAAATTGTGTGAGGATACGTGCTGTCGGAGGAGGATACATGTTCCTCCTTTATTCAAGTATGGTGGAGTCCATACAATAAATTAGCTTAGGTACAAGTGGAATCACCTTAATTCCTACAGACAGTCCTGTCTTAATCAAGGGTGCTTTTATAGAAAAGATGAGTGGAGTGCTTCAAACTTTTGGAAGTCATTTTGGAGTTGTATATATTTTCTGTCAGAGACAGTGTTGTATTTATGGCCGGACACTACCTTAAAACTTTACCACTCTGAAAGATAAAAGTATTTGGTTTTAAATAAAAGTGAGTATTAGCATCTCATTACATTATACCAAGAACTGAAAGGATTGAGACACTGAGCATATACTTTCATTGCTCATAATATGATTTTCCTCTTTATTTGCATTATTGCATTAATGAAAGAAGACAAAAACAAAATAAAAGCAAAGACACGTTAGGTCCAGAGGGTAAATGGGAGCTGGTTGTCAGAACTTATGTGACACTTCTGAATATAATAGAAGTAAATAACATCACTTGTTTATTGTTAAAAAAGACAATGAAAATTAATTTTAAAAATAAAAATTTTTGAGTCAGAATGGGAAATGAAATATTCTAGGCTGAGCAATATGATTTGGCCAATAACTATGAGTAGTAGTTAGAATAACTAGTTAAAACTCCACTAATGTAGAAACTGTGGTTACTGTTACAATTCCAGTGTTGTATCAATATTTGGTCTTCTAAAACTTGGAACATGCAGCCATACAGTTGTGAGAATCATGCCAACAGACGTAACAAAGGACAATAGGAACCACAATATGCAACTCATAAGAAATAGTTTTTTATATCTTCAGCATCCTGCTGTTTTGGTCAATTTGGTTACTCAGCTTGAATAAGGGTAGCCAAATATGCTAAAAACATGCTTACCAAGCATTTATTGCTTGATAAGTAGAAAATATTGCATATCATATGGAGAAAGTCCCAGTAGAGGATCTTATATTCATATAGCTGTATAAATTTTCAAGACAAAGCCGGTAAGCGGAAAACTACACCTGGAGAGTGAAGTTAATTCAGATTATTGTTTTCAGCATATGGCCAAAAGGAAGCATATAATGTTAAATGGCAGGTGGAATAGCATCGGACTTGTTAATCAATGGCTTTTTAAAGAAATAATTGTTAATTAATTTGTTAAACACCCTTTCAGAAAAGGACTAAAACAAATTTCTCTTCTTTTTCATCATAGCTAGTGACAGGCTCAAGAGCAATAAAAAGTTTGTAAGAGAAGCTGTTGGTATTTTTCATAATTAGCGCCATGGTGTGATGAAACCAGAGCCAGGGATTTATATTTTATGGATGTAGAAACAAGGTGTTGGTTTTTGGTTGTTTTTTTTTTTTTTTTCCTGAAGTAAGCCAAAACCCTTCAAAACCCTTAGACAAGTTTGTGCCTCAGTGTTCATAGAACTGAGCTTTGGGTGTCTTCCATGCAGCAAAAGGACATAATACCCCCTGAAATACCCTTATTTCTGTGCATGATAGGGAAAATACCATGTAGTATCAGTTCCCCTTCTAAATTCCTATATACATCTAAAGGCCAGGGAGAAGCAGGATCGGGGCACACTGACAGCTCTACTGCTTGTCCCAACATGTGGAATCCTTGCACTGAAGGAAACATTAGTTCTAAACCTGGGGCACTGGGTGTGGGCACTGCAGCTCTCAGGACTTCATCTGCACTTGAGCCAATCACAAGCTTTACCTTTTAATTTGTATAACCTGAAGTATTTTACTTTTCTCTGTAGAGTATTATGAGTTTATGAATGGGATTACTTGTAGAGTGGGGGACTTCTCATATATATAAGACAGAACAGCTGAAAAATGCATAGGAAAAAGTAGAAATTTAAATGGAAAATGAAGGAAGATAAATGGACTAGGTTATATTAAGCTATTCTGTATGTCAGTTTGCCTAAAGTTTATTGGTTTAAATTGTTTCCAGCTTTTAGTTAAAATTTTTCATTGAAGCAATTGAAGCTATTTTTCATTGTTCTGTCCCCTGAAAAGTATGACTTGAACTGACTCTCATTATTCACTAAAAAAATTCCTAATCAAAAGGACTGCATTGTATGAAGGACAAGTATTCATTGTCTCAGTTTATAATTACACATGTAAGCATAAGGGTTAACTGCTTTAAACAAGTAGGGTTGCTTGATGCAAACACAGAGACCAGAATTAAACGGCCAGAATTTATTTGTTTTCCTACAAGAGAATTACTATTCTCACATGCTACTTGCCCGGAGGAGTGACTCCTAGCTCAAAGGACTCTGGGCTGGGGAGGTTGCTTGAGGGAAGAGAGAAATCATCATTTAAGTTGTGATGACTTCCACAGCCACTACTATTACCTCAAGGCTGCCATCGTCTAACAGCTGCTGTATCCTGGTTCTACAGAATGAGATTGCTTTATGGGTCTATACTTGCTCCACTGTATTTTGAAACCCTTAGTTACAGGGTGAACTTTCTCAGAAGGTCAGGATGCTGTTCATCTGCTTCACAGGGCTCAATAAAATTGGAGATCAGGTAATTGCTCTTTGCTGTCCATGCTGTGGCTGAGGCCATTAGGGACTCCAGTATTAACGTTTTGGTTAGAAATTTCCAGCACACAGTGAAATCTAAAATACAGAATATGATTTCTTCTTCATTATACTGATACAGACAGAGTTATATTCCCACAGCATACAGAATGCTGCTTTATGGAAACTTTTGCACAAATCCTCAAGATATTAATTGCCCAGCTCTCACTGGTTTCTTTAATGCATTTTTAGTATGCACTGTATGTGGACTCCTTCAAGATCTGAGAGAGAGATACAAAAACAAATTTTCAAAATATGCCCTTCATTTGAACATTTCATATCACCTGCTCTCATAATTTTTGAATACTGTCATTTAAACCAAACCATCAGATTTTCATGTATAAATGAATAATCTTCCAGAGCTCTACCTGTTGCAGTTCCAAATAGTATCATGATTTTCACTACTATATTCATCTAAGTGAAATCTAGACTAGTCTTTTGCATAATATAGTCATATCATTCTTGCTTTATTTGTTCTAGCTCACTGTAAAATTTTAACGTGGAAAGAACACTGCTAAGATTAAATTAAAAGGCACTATGAGAAATATTGTTGTTGTGAAGAATTTTCTTTAATCTGATAACTCTGGCACCTTATTGTAATGAAAGCTGGATGTGATCCTCTGTTCCTAAGAAGATATCACAGACACACTGTAAAGAGCTGCTCACATGAAGGCAGAAGTGAGGAATGAAAGTAAGCAGCGTGACCCAGAGTGAAAGTCAGGCAGAACTAGAGAGAACTACTAGAGTCATGGGGGCAACAGGGAATGATTTAAGTGGTTTAAGTAGATGTTACAAGGGAGAGGAATATAGACCAGGAAGAATGAAACCCAAGGGAATCTTAGCTTAAAAAAGTAACCAATGTGACTATCTGGTCATACAGTTGTGTGTGTGTTACCATTCTTCTCCGTCTACACCCACCCCCACTAAAAAAATAAACGTTATCGGGTTTTCAGTTGCTAGTGAAATAGTATCAGTAGTTTCATATTTCGGCACAACGTCCTCAGTACTCCAGCCTAAAAAGGAATGTTGTAGAGCATATGACACTTCATTTTCCATTTTATTTCTTGGGGAAATGAAAAACGTATTTGGCCATTGTTCTACAAAATATTATGTTTGCCATAGGCATTTTATCTTTTCTATACTTTGACTTCTTAATGTTGATGTAATTTGTTAAATAGGATGCTCGCAACAGGCTAATTAAAAGCCCTTAGCAATTTTACTTTTAATGTATTAATTTTGATGCAATACTGTGGAAAAAAAAGTTAAACTTAAGACTAACTCTACAACTGGAAGATAAAATGGAAAACTAAGCAGAAAACGGTTATTTTCTGAACCAGATGAGTGCTGTATAGGACTAAACTTGTTACTGCTATGGAACAGCAGTAAAAACATAATTCTAGGGTTTTTATTTTGCAGTTTCTAAACTGAGTTTTCCCCTTGTAACATACACCTTCCTGGTTTACCATAGTTAGGATTTTTTTTTTTTTTTTTTTTTTTTACTTTAGAAAATCATCAGAGAAGATTTCACAAAAAGTGAAGGATGATTTTGGATTTTGTTATACTAATACAAAGGCAGCACCGTGTGGGGACTTGATGGATACAGGTTGTCATAGTCATATTCTCTCTCAGGTTTGCTTTCCTGTTCTCACTGCTGTGTACATGGAAAGCTACTATGTTACAGAACACATTAATAGTTTTAATTGTTACTGGTGAGATTTTCTAAAGTTGCTATCTCAGTCTCTGAAAAACATTCAACTTGACATGCATTTTATTTTTGGCAGTCGGTAAAACTAAGGATGACCTTCTTCTTCTCACTCTGTAATTACAGAACCTATAGAGAGGCTGGGAGCAGCTGCAGTACTCCCTCAGTAAGATGCAACTTTGTGAATTTTCCAGAACCACAGGATTCCTCC